AATGGTATGAAAGGGCCAGATGCCCCAATGAAATCTCCCAATGAAAAATCTAATGAAATGGTCAAGGAGTGTAATGAAATATCCTAATGAAAGCGCCAAGAAGCATTCTAATGAAAATTCAATGAAATGGTAATGAAAGGGTCAAGGAGCTGAATGAAATATCCCAATGAAAATTCCAAGAAAATCTAATGAAAGTGCCAAGGAGCCTAATGAAATATCCTAATGAGAAATATAAAAAATCGTAATGAAAAAGCGCAGGAGCCTAATGAAATATCCTAATGAAAATTCTATGAAATGGTAATGAAAAAGCACAGGAGCCTAATGAAATATCCTAATGAAAATTCTAAGAAATGATAATGAAAAAGCGCAGGAGCCTAATGAAATATCCTAATGAGAATTCTAAGAAATGGTCATGAAAAAGCGCAGGAGCCTAATGAAATATCCTAATGAAAATTCTAAGAAATGATAATGAAAAAGCGCAGGAGCCTAATGAAATATCCTAATGAAAATTCTAAGAAATGGTAATGAAAAAGCACAGGAGCCTAATGAAATATCCTAATGAAAATTCTAAGAAATGATAATGAAAAAGCGCAGAAGCCTAATGAAATATCCTAATGAAAATTCTAAGAAATGATAATGAAAAAGCGCAGGAGCCTAATGAAATATCCTAATGAAAATTCTAAGAAATGGTAATGAAAGTGCCAAGGAGCCTAATGAAATATCCTAATGAAAATTCTATGAAATGGTAATGAAAAAGCGAAGCAGCCTAATAAAATATCCTAATGAAAAGTCTCAGAAATGATAATGAAAGGGCCAAAGAGCCTAATGAAATATCCCCATGATATCTCATTATCCTTGCCTATAACTTATGAAAGATTCCAGTGACAAATTGAATGAAATAGATGGGCAATCCTAATGAGATGCCTTTCATAAAACCTGTGGCATTATACACAATGGCTCTTGGACAGTTGTCATAGATTAATCATAAATAGTGGTAGCCACTAGTGAGTCCAGATTGATGTCGTCCAAACGAAGCAGCAGAAACGTTGCGGCCCGCAGCGGATCATCGCCGATTTTGCCCTTTTCAGCCGATATTCGCACATTCTCGTGGAGGTTTGCAGAGCCGGTTTTCACTGGGCATCAAGCTCAAGTCCCAGTGCCCAGTGGCCGAAATCAGCATACCATATGCGACCTACCTGTTCTCGTTTCGTCTTTACGAACCTTCTGGCGTCACCATTTCTCGCAGTCAAGGCCCAGACTGGCCAGTTCATCGTCGAACAAGCGACAGTGTCTGAAGGCGCCAAGTTTATGTGTTGCCTTCTGTGCTTGTTCGAACACCCGTTCTCAAACTGCAACCAACTCGGCTCCGGGGACAGGGTTACTTGGAGTCAGAGTTCGACACGGTAGATCTGCTTCCTCAAGACCTCCTTAGCGCAGATGTTTCGAGGGAGCAATTCAGAGACGCGAAACTTAGAGCAGTCGATTGATTCGAATCTATCCAAGGGAGGCTTTATAGAGACCCTCAAGTGAGTTTGTCTTCTTTTCCGTCATATCGGTAGCCAATGATTTAACACGCAGCTAGCTCTACTTGAATTCCTCTTCGAAAATTACGGCGTGTTCCCTCGCAGTCCCTCCACCACTTTCACCACTTCTCCTCAAACGAAAGCTACCCCCTCGAGCCTCAAGTTCTTTCCTCCATGACCTTCGCTCTGCCCCTACCCATTTGTACAACTCTCCCTCGACAGTCATCGCTCGTTTTCGCGGGCCCATCCTATTCGCGTGTCCGGCAATTGATGGTGTTGACGAGACAACGTCGCCATCTTTTCCCAAGGAGGTCGCCAACTTGGTTGGTCCCCCTCGTCACGGGATGCTGATGCACGTATGTTGACACTCAACATGAAACCTCACTCCCTATCCAAATTATGACTGGAAAGCTAGTCTATCTATCATTCTACGACCCCCAATGTGGCCGCTGCCATCATCGCACACCCATATCCATCCCCTTGCTTTACTCCAATCAACGACGACCTGCGACTCAACTTCGCAAGGACGCTAATGTCCTCTGCAGGGGCACCGTGCTACTTGCTTCCCAAGACACATCCGGCCCCTGCAAACCACATTCACCCTCTTTCGTCCTTTATCGTTTGAACCTCGTCCACGATCTCCGATTGTGAACATCGGACAAGACGAGAGCCTTCGACCCATTCATCGTGCACCTCCATCACGATCCTGCCTCCACCTCGCACCGGAACAAAGAAGGCGTGTGTCCGTATTGTGAAAAACGATCATATCGGTCGGGAGCATGGTGAGACGATCCAAGAACTCTGCGCCCGAGAGGTGGTGGGGGAGCAGTCGAGACGTTCCCCCACTCGCTTTCTTAACTTCTTCCCTTGCAAACCTGAAGTTCCTGAACCAATCACGAGGTCGTCCTTCAATCGACATGAAGCCCGTTCGCCTTTCAGATTGACCTCTTCCTAGGGAAGACTCTTCGCCCTATTCCATCGAAAGGCTAGATGGTGGTTTCCGGAAGTCCATCGCGTCAGGCTACGTATCGTCAACACGCTCTGGAGGTTGTGCGGAGGAAGGGCGCATCGAAGCTGTCTAGAGAGGAGAGGGGAAGCGAAGGTTGGTTGTGCAGTTGCGCGCCGTGGATGTGGTGATTCGGACGAAGGCAGAGCTGAGAGTTCGCGAAAGTGATGGAGCGCGGGCTCTTCCCCATCCAACCGCGATGTACACCGCTGCGGAGAAGTGTGTGGAGGCTCTGGAGGTTCATCGAGTTGGATGGGGTGATAGCGGCGTTGGAACATGTACCTTGGAAGACTGTTATGGGGCGTGATCGAGTTTTCGATGCCGGGATGGACGAATGAACAGACGAGGGAGAGAAAGGTCAATTCGTTGCGTCTGGTGATGCTTTCCTGGTGTGGTGAGAGATGGTTGCATTTAGATTGAGTTGGAAACACAGGCAACGCTCACTGATAGTCCCCGTTACTACTGGATTGTATATGAGATCTTGAGACTTCATACATAGTTGTGATGTTAGTTAACGTCGCCAAATAAAACTCTTGATGTCAACCACTACCAGCGCCATATTCACTACTCATGCACTTATTTGCGACTGCTCTCACAATGTTTCGAGTGGAAGCATCCTTTTCGGAGTGAAGGTAATTACTTCGATTTCATATCCTGCAGTTCACTTCTTTCTAAGAACACAGTCACCACATCTGCTTTTCTTCAACATTCCCACTCCTCGCGAGCTCATGGAATCGGTTAATATCCTGCCTACACACTTCCGTAGAACCACGACTTCCAGGACACCAGCCCTCTGCCCAAGTGCAAGAAGAACACTCTAGGATCTCTGAACCACTGTTCACAACCTCTGCATGCGCCCTTAGTCGGTCACTACCGAATCTACCCCATCCAAACATCCATCGACCCAATCGATATCATCTCTCCTCGAAAAGTGCGTCCTCCCTTGTCTCTATCTACGATTTCTGCCGAACTCACCTCATCCCTCCCACCAGATATGCAGAGCACTCTACACCACCTCTCACTCTGGCACCGTATGGCGATTCGCACTCCATGGCACATGTCACACACGCCGTCTCTTCGCCCGTACCTCCCCCATTGACACAATGTACGCACGACATATTGAATCAGGTGCACTCTCCCCATGGCGCGGAGAAGCGCCCATGGACTCTTCGCCCGCCAACATCCTCTTCCCCGCGCGCAAGGGCGTGTTTGATTCGTAGGGGGGTGTGCTTTTGGACGAGGACGAGGATGTCTGTTCGGAGCTCGTGCTCTTTCCCGGGGAGGTTCTTGTTGACGGAGCATGGTGGGATTTAGATTTGAATACGGAGGGAGCTCGAAAGATGACGACGACAATGCCGTTTGCGGTGCATGTTTCTGAGGATGGGAGCAACTAGTCGATTTTGGGCTTAGTGCCTGCGCCATATTGCCGTGGGCTGTGCGTCATTGTGGCGAATGGGTATGTGCTTTTTTTTTGCCTGCGTGGCGATGCTTACGACTTGTAGATCAAGCGAGCTGAGATTCACCCCGCAGTGCCAAAGCCACAGTTTCAATACCTTAGAAGGCTGCGCTTGAAAGCGTCACTTCATCTACATGCGATTTCTGGAGATCGCGTTGTCTTGTTGGACGAGGAGATGGAGCCGTAACATGGAAATTGGCAATCAGCATATACGTACGTATTTACGACCCTCTCTATTTTCTCCCAACCTCAATCACACCTTTACAGACAATGCTATTCGGAGACCAGTGAATGCTGCTGCTGTGAATCAGGGTCCCAGGAGTCCTATTCGGAATGCTCCCCAGAGCCCTGCAGGATCTCAGCCCAAGACCCTGTTGCATACGACGTTCAAGCCGTCCCCGCTCAATCCTGATGTTCTTCCTCAAAGTCCTCTTCGCACCGTTCCACCTCATCCTTCGACACATCAGCACCTTCATCCCAGCCACCCCCCTCGCCTTGCCCTTCGCCCACCCTATGCGTTGGCCTCACCCCAACGCTTGTCCAAACCCATCACAGAAATACCCCACCCCTTCAACAACCCAAACCCCCGCCGCCCCCCCTCCGCTTCTAGCAGCACCCGCAGGGTCGTGGCCTCTGCCTAAACCACATCTACCTAGGCCTCGCAGCGCCCGTAGGCCGGAACCCCGCCATGTCATTATACACACTCGATCTGGCGTGACGGGCTCCGACGCGAAGAAGCCTTTTAGGTTCGCGATGGATATGGAGAAGGTGTATTCGGGTGCTAATGGGTCAAATGCGGGGAGGAGAGCGCAGCTTAATGCGAGGGTTGTGTTACCGCCTATGACGATTTGTCATGGGCAGTTGAGTCAGTCGTGGGCGTTGAGTGGGGAGGTTTTGACTAGCTTGATGAGGATGGAGGGGGAGGAGGGGGAGGAGGATTATGATGATGCGTGGAGTGAGTGGGCTAGCGAGGAAGGGAGTGAAGGGAGGGATGTTCGGCTGTTACGAAGTCGTTGTATATGTATGGGTTGCAGGACAGGGTGTTGTATGATTTTTTGTCCTGCTTCTCGGAGGTTGGTAGTGGCTACGCGCGGGGAGAGACGCGTGTTGAATTTTTTGGTGCCGGTTCCTGACTTGTGCGTTTCTCTTTCCTTTTAACAAATTTTTTCTTACAGTACATGATACCATTATATGACACGGAATTATTCCCCCACTCACATTGTTATTCAAACGGCCCAAAATCGACAACTTACTCCCATCCTCAGAAGTATGCACCGCAATCGGCATCGTCGTTGTCATCCTCCGGCTCCCTCCGCATTCAGACCTAAAGCCTACAACGGCCGCAACCCACCATGCTCCGTCAACAGGAACGAGCACAATCCCCTCCTCGTCCTTATCCACAAGCACACCTCCATATGGATCAAACACCCGCGTGCGTGTGGGGAAGAGGGTCTTGGCTGGTGAAGAGTTCATGAGCGCGGAGAATTCGATGTGTTGTGTGTAGATTGTGTCGATGGGGAAGGTTGGGGGACAAGACGGTGTGCGTGACATGTGCGATGAAGGTGTGAATCGCCAGACGGTGCAGGCAGGGGAGGCGGTGTACAGTGCTCTGCATGTCTCGTGTATAGATGAAATGGGATGGAGTGAGATCAGTCGAAATCGAAGATAGAAGTGATATTGATTGCGTTGTAGATCCAGTGGTGACCGAGTTCATTGTGGGTGTGAGAGGCAAGGAGGGGATTGCGATGAGTTTGGCGAGGGCTCTTGAGAGGTGGTGAGCAGTGGTTCGAAGAACCTTGGTGAAAAGGCGAGGGAGGCATGTGTGGACATTGTTGAACAGGCAGTTAATAACGTTCCAGATTCACAGTGGTGAGCGTATTTTGGATGTCGGCTTGTGCTTCTTTTGTGCTCATATGGGGGGTGGCCTGCCTTGGCAGTAGTTATATCTGATAGTTGGATGGTTAGCGAGAAAATCAATTGATAGTGTACACCATCCCGACCTACCGAGTCATACCCAGTCGATTTGATCATCCCATCAAACCCAACTTTCCTCAAGGTGTATCCTCGAGCTCGAGACTGAATGGGCCACACTACGGTATCATCTTCCAAAAAGGGGAAGCCTTGGTATTGGTTTTTAACGGTCGTCTGATGGTCTCTGAAACGGGTATGCTTTTAGAGGTCCAATTTGACCAGGCGTAGAAACCGCTGCAGAACCCAAAAAATGGATGGCTACCGAGATATGGGTTTCCAACGGTACCTGACACATAACGAGATGAGCGTTCTGAAGGGGCATGGAAAAGGGAGACGAGGAGGGACGACGAGCAGGTATTCGATGACGTCATCTGCGGTGGGCTCGCCTTCTCGCTCTGACACCCATCATCGATCAACCGCATCCCCGCCGTCCAATGTCCGCTCTTCGACGGAAGAGGTTACTGTTCTCCTATGCCCCGGATTGCTGAGTTTGACTTCATATCACATCTACTGTAAGCCCCAGGATTCTAACCATAGTGCTCGCGTACGACCTTTCCCCTGCTCACTTCAAACATTGTTGGTTGAAAATGAACATATAACAGGGCAGCGTTCTTCGCGTTGGACAAGGTGCACGGGTACAGGAGGGTGTTTTCGTTGGAGGATACCTCGTACGTTTACCCTTACTCTTTGCTCCCTCAACGTCATTCTCAGTTATTGCTGCAGGTTACGACACCCGTACGTCCTCTTCTTCCCCTTTGTAAGAGACACGTTAACTGGATCGAATAAACAGGTTCGCAGAAAAAGAACGCATACCCGTAAGTACCCCCCTCTCTTGAGTCTCTGCTCCCCGTCCGTTCTCACCTGTCACAAATCCAATGCAAAGGACGTTGCACTCTACATGATATGCTTCGTCGCGCCTCTCGTCATCCAACCACTCATCAACCTGCTGACTATTCGCTCCTGGTGGGATCTACATAATGGTATACCCACTCCCCCTCGCTACTTTCTCCACTGACACGTGCCTCGTTTGACTCTTGATAGGTACACTTGGTCGTACGTGCCTCTTTACTCTGATCCCCACCCGCTGACCGCCTCTCAGTGATTCTTGGTTTGGCGTTGACGGGCGCGGTGACACAGTTCACTAAGATCACAGTAGGACGACCACGTCCAGGCACGTCCATTTCTTCCTTTCCCTGCGTTGCTCCACTCTTTCCCACCGTTACACCACACATTTCTCCCTTTTCCTTATGTGTCTTGCTTTCCTTTTATTCATTTTTATGCGCTTTCCTTACCTTCCCTTGCGCTCCTTCCTTTCCTTACCGTCCCTGCCCTCCTTACACCTCATCTCCCTTCCTTTCTATCGTCCTCCCTCCATTCCCTTTCCTTCTCTCCCCTTCCCTCCCTCCCCCCTTACTCCCATCCTTGCCTTTTCCTTCTCCTACACAACAACTAACTGTATCCAAACCCACAGACATAATCGCCCGCTGTCTCCCACCACAAAACGCCACAGACCCCATCTTCGGCTTATCAACCGACGCCATATGCACAAACACCGACGTGGCCATTATGCGTGACGGGTTTCGGAGTTTTCCTTCTGGACATTCGAGTCGTACGTCGTCGTTTCTCCTCCCACTCTTGGCTATTTGAAGGTAGAAGGTAGAAGGCTAACGCAACCCATAACAGTATCGTTCGCAGGTCTAGGGTTCCTTTCGTTTTATTTAGCAGGGAAACTGCACCTTTTTGATAAGAGGGGACACGCCGTACGTTCTCTTTTCCCTTTCATATCTTCGGGAATCAGACTCACGTATGAACGAAATGGCACACAGGGAAAAGCATGGTTATCGTTAACCCCGTTCGCAGGCGCTGCTTTGGTAGCTATTTCACGGACTATGGATTATCGACGTATGTTTCTTCTCTCTTCTCTTCTCTTTTCCTGCTTCCCTTCCTTCCTCCCTGCTTCCCTTATCCCTTTCCGTTCCTTCCAACCCAACTAACCCCCACCCTCGTCCACAGACCACTGGCACGACGTCCTAGTAGGCTCCATCCTCGGCACCGTCCTCGCCTACTTCTCTTACAGACAATACTACCCCTCTCTCTCCTCCGAACTCTCCCATCGCCCATATTCACCTAGGATCAAGGATGAGCTGGATGCGAACCTGCATAGGAATGATCTCGAGTCGCCGGTGCCTATGGCGAATCAACAACAAGGTCCTGCGGCCCATCGAAGACAAGAGTCGGCGGTTCAGCAGCAGCAGCTGACTGCGACTGCGCAGGAGGAGGATTATGAGCTTGAAGGGACGGCGCCTAGGCCCAGTGGGCCTGGGCATTTGTATGATGTGTGGAGTGAGGGACGGAAGGATGAGGTGTGATGTGATGTCCTCCCTACCTATGCTTTCAAGAAATTTCGGGTTGGAAATGGTGGTGGTGGAATTGGGTTGGTGGGGTTGGTTTTACGGCTTACTTACTGGATTGATGTCTGTTTTTCGCGATTTTATGTTTATTAAGTATATGGGCATTAGTCCAACGATTGAGTGGAATTATGATTTAAGGCGTTTGTTCGTACGTGAAAAGGTGAACGAACCATTTGCACTAAAAAAACACACTATGTCTAGAATATCTCTCTGTCTGGGAGTCGAACCCAGCTTTCGCGCGGAGAGTAGCATATATGATGATGATGACAGGCGCGTGTACTAACCGATATACTAACAGAGATTGGTAAGATTTGATATTTGAACGAATTCTAATTTTACGGCCGTTTTCGTGATTTCTATTTGTTAAGTCCAACGGTCAAGGAGACGACGGATGTTGTTTATACGTTACGGTATCAATTTATACTGTCCATACAGTGAGCACGTCTATCTAAAAAAAAACAAGAGACGCCGATGGCATTTGTATAATACTTATTCGGAGCGAGGGACGGAAGGATGAGGATGTGATGCTGAACATTTTGATTTTGAGCTGGAAGTGGTGGTGGAATTGGGGTTGGAATTGGGTTGTGGGGATAATTTTACTACAGTACGGCTTGTGTCCGTGACTTTTTGATTGTGTTTTTGAACGAGGGTTAGTACAATTTGAGAAGTTGGGGGATGTTGCTTTATACAGTGTGAAGGTGTGCGGTATAATGCGATTTATTTATGTTCTGTTCAAAAAGGCGAACATGTGTATTTTCTTTCAACTTTGAAAACATGTACAACCATCTATCTCTCTGTCTGGGAGTCGAACCCAGCTTTCGCGCGGATCAATGGCTAGGATGACAGGCGCGTGTACTAACCGATATACTAACAAAGAGTGATTAGATTTGTCATAAGAACATTGGATTGTGCATAGTGGTCGATTCAGCCTGAGATAGAGAGATACATCTGGATCGAACCGTCCTTCTTTTATACTAGGAACGAGCCAAACCCCAGCCTCTGTGAAATTTTTTCAAATGTATCAAGCCATCCTAAAATTCTTTAAGAGATTCAAGATACACCACGTAGGGTATTATATCACAGTAACGATCCAACGAGTGGAGAGCAAAAATATATGCTATCCAACTTCTTGATCTTCCAAAAATCAGAAGCGCAAACCACGACCTCCCAAATTTCGGATCTGCTGGTTATCCAATCTGATATTATAAGCGACAAAAACGAGTGAAGAAGTCTTTGACTCTCTGTCCGGGAATTGAACCCGGCTTTCGCGCAGTGTTAATCAAGTAATGATGGAAAGCTCGACATCACTGACAGCGCGTGTACTGACCGACATACCAACAGAGATTGGTTAGACCTCGATTATATCCTGACTTGAAGTCTTGACTATTGAGCGACACCGTGACTCTCAGCTAACGTAGGGGTGGCGTTGAAGCGCCGAGTCAACGGTTTTATCTGGTAAGAAAAGGATCAGAAAATATGTACCGAGTGCAGCGCACACATATGGCAGATTAGTACCAGTAACCAAACACATACCAAAGAAATGATAATAATGATATGTGGAGCATGTTGGCTGAAAATTTAACCTAACGTATGCGCCATCTGCCACACTACTGCACGTTCAATATGCTTTGTTTGCGCCAATTTGTTTGCGTATGCGTCACAGTCAGGTGCATCTTCAACGTCTCCATACTGTTTGCAAATTGTTTCTGTGGTTTCGTTTCCACTGCCTCGGAGAGTCCAGTGAAACAAAGGGCGTTGGTGTCAAACTTGCTTCTGGGAGTCCAATCGACCTTACCTGCGATTAAAGGGACACTAAGCATCTCTTTGAGCAATCTTTGAGACGACTTCCGCAATGAGTTGCCTACTGGAGTGTACGTCCGTACTTGGGACTCATGGTCTTGCATTATTCGTGGGCTCCATTAAGGTTTCACGAAGCACACGAACAACGGTCATACTTTGACTGGCATACTAGTCTCATATCTGCTGTTCTGCAAAAGAAATGTGAGGTTAGTCATCAATTTGCAACATCCGTCGTTTTTTGAGCGCATTATAGAAATTAAACAGGTCCCCGGTACGTTGGTCCGGCTTAAGCACGCCATTCCTCCCTCCGTATTGACCTCTTGAAAGCACCACATGCAATATTCATCCCAGAGATGAGGGTAGCGTTTGATTCTGGAGCAATGCGAGCATTGGGTCAGTCTGAAAATCAATTAGGCTTATTGCACTCTCTTGCCGTTCCGTGATTTCAGAAGGGGTTCATTAAAAGCGCAGTCCTTTCGTCCTCTTCGTTTCCCCTATTTCCTTGGTACCATACCCCGGAATGTCGAATCAGTTCACCACACATCCATTTTTTAGGCCGCTCCGAAACGAATCTACGCACTCCTGCCGACTGGAAATGGACCGAAGATGTAATATTTCCACTCTTTTACACAGGCCATAGGGTCCTTCAGTTTGGGGCGTTTGTCTGTTCAGATGAGCCCCATTAGGCATGACTCGAGGCCAGATTTCATCGGTACTCACTGCCATCAACCACTATAATTGGACTATCTTGGTGTCGAGCTCCGGATTGTCGCCAATGCGCCATTGTTCGACATAACGAGACGGCGACAAAGGAAAGCGCGGTCAGGTGACGACTTCCGAGGCCACATCTGACAACGCGTGGGGTGCTATAAAATGTTGTCGTCCTGCTGAGGTCTTTCTTCCACAAACTGCACCGAACACAGTCGCCTCTGACTTGACTTAAGCGACCTCTGCTCAATTTACGCAACTTTTACATTCTTCCTCACAAGTCCTTGTACCTGCAACCTATCTTCGCTATCAATAGCTTCATCCATGTCTTCTGTCGTCAACACCAACATGCTCACTGTCTATTACGAGGTATGTGCTTATCTCTCCCAGTTTTTGTATTGGTGCTCAATGATTTTATCTCAAACGAAGGATATTGCCATGATCACCTCTGATATCCACGCGCCACTCGACGGCGAATTCTTCGGCAGACCCACGCGCCAAAACAATCAACGCTTTGGCGCAATTGGAACAGGAAATTCCATCTCGCCCACCGACTTCCCGCACCAGGGCTTCGAAGTCGTCCACAAGGCTGAGATCGACGTGGAGGTGCTTCAGGAGAAGCTCAATACCACCATCTCGTCGCACATGTCTTCACCTCCTAAGGTCTCGACCGCGCCAGAGGACGATGTTTGCTCCAGCGACGAAGCCTTCGACAAAAATCAGCCTCCCGCTCTGTCCTTTAGGGACGCATTCGATAGCGACTCCTCTTCTGACATCGTCCCCCCATCAGCGTCCCGCGTCAACCAACAGCCCCTCAGTGCCCTCTTTGACGAGTGGATTGCCACTCGTCAGCTCTTACAGGAGAGCAGCCACACAAACTCTCCGCCTTCCTCATCAGCTCGCCTCGCCATCCTCGAACCCAAACCAAGGCTCGCATGGCACACCACTTACGAGCAACTATTAATCTCTGCATCCGAAGAAGCTTTGGGAGATTGCAGCACCACCATCAAGACGGATATGCCAAGGGGTTTGGCGAGGATACGCGCCAAAGCACCTCACCATATCGACCTATGGCGAGCCAACAAGCCCGATGAGCCTCCGGATACGATGATGGTTGCTGTGAAGGGAGGCAGTGAGAGAGCTTGCTTCCCGTGCGCACCGTTGAAGAACGTCCCTTTGCCGGAGACGACGCCCGGCAATGGTCATTCGGTTGGCTATCAAGCACCAACGGTGCCCATAACGCCCCGTCGTCAAGTGCTGTTGGATATGTTAAACTATCGAACAAGAGTGTACTTCTAGTCAGAGTGTTTTCTTACACTGTAACAGTGTCCCCGTGGGTTGTAAAATTTGTAGGGTTGGTCTTCTTGAACTTTGTATCGCTCTTGGGCCGTACTCGCAACCATAGGCCTTGTCACTGCGAATAAGCGCGACCACGATGTTAGAGGAGAGTCATTCACCTGGAGGTTGCTGCCTGTTGCTGAGGCACACACGCAACGATGTAGGAGCAAGCAAGGGAGCAAGTAAGAAAGAAAGAGACAAGCAATCGATGGCAACTGGAATTTCGAATTATAAGGACTCCATTCGGCCATCTGCGGAGGAACACTTATGCCGTCGGCTCTCCGTATGTTATTCAAGAAGCATTCAGAAGGCTTTAGAAGGTCCATCTAGGTCCATCAAGATAAATGTGTTTTTCCTTGCAGGCAGGTGGAAAGATCCATAACTCGTGATCGGTAAGCCAGTTGTGATGCATCCGAGCCTGTTGACTCTTCGACAGTCAATCAAAAACATTCAATCGTACAAGCTTGACAACAAGTTACATCTAGACAAGGGCACCACAAGCCGCTCAACCACCAGTTGAATGGTGAAAGAGACGTTCATGTATCTAGAAAGCAAGTCGGGGTATGTTGAGACCCTAAACCCCACAGACGTTCCACCCCAAACAACTTTACCAGATCCTAGTCTCAAGGAGCAAATCACTGCTCCCCTCCAAGCCAATGCAAGCCTTCAAGAATCCCTCGAGCGCATTGCGCTGCCTGTTGAGACTGTTGACGACCTCAGTGCCTGTGAAGGTAAAGTGCGTTCAGAAAATTTCTTTAACGCGGAGGAAAGATGGAAGCTTACCAGGCTTGACGAGAGGAGCCTTCAACATATAAGAGAGGAGGGACAAGACAGAGTAGAGAGGCGCAAAGTCCTTCTGCTCGGCGGTGTTGCGGGTGACTTTGCGGTACTGAACTCGGGTGAGGAGTTCAGTGAGGATGGTCAAATCCAGGATGAGTGGTGTGGCGAGGAGGGAGTCCTGAGAAAAGAAAAAGGGATATTAGATTCGAGCGAAGACAGGTAAAAAATGAATACAGACCTCGCACTCATTGAAGATGTTGATAGTCGAGCGACCACCACAGAAAATCTCAGAGTAGTACTCGTCAATGGCGCGCTTGGAATCACCGACAGCAGGAACATATTTGATCACGACAATGTGGTCGGGATGCTCGCCCTTGCCAATAGGGACGCCTTTGGGTCCGACCTCAGGGGCCTTGTACAGAAGGCGGTTGGCATCAACCATGTCGTCGACGACGCTGCTCTTGCTGATCTCCTTGCTCCTGAATTGCCTTTCAGCGGACAAGTTGTGGCCATCATTGTTGCCGAGATGGTTGTAGGACGCAATAGAAAGAGGCTTGATGCCAGCGTTGACGAGGAACTCAGCAAGGACGGACTTGAGCTTGGTCTGACCGGACTTAAGATCATCACCACCAATGAAGGAGTGATGACGCTCAGCAAGCTCGATAGCTCCTGGAACAAAGGTGTTCTGGGGAGCACCGTTGACGAAGGGCTCACCTTCCAAGATGGCCGCAATGGCGAAGACAGTGGAGGGGGAGACCTCGGAGTGGGAGGACTTGATGGAAGCAAGGAGGTTGTCTGCAGTGTCGTTGACACCGGGGATGATGTCGCTGTAACGCTCCGTGTTGGCGGTCCAGAAGACGACAACTCGATCAAGCTCATTGTCCTTCTTGAACTTCCTGATATCCGCACGAATATGCTCAAGGTGTGCGGCCTTGTCAGTACCCGGAATCACGTTGTCAGCGCGAGCCTCCTGGTTCGCGGCAATGAAGTCGGGGTAGTAGATGGAAGGGAGGGGTTTGCCGAGCAGTGCCATATGGGGTGCGACTTGGCGCTGTAGGTCATAGTCAAGAACCTGCGCACGCTCCATGGCCTTGTCCATGGGAACTCCAGAGATATCCCAACCTCCAAGAACGAGGTCATTGGGATGAACCATGGGAAGAACGTCAGAGACGGGGACATGGACCTCCTTGCCCGAACCGGGCTCAGTGCCAATGCGAACCGTAGAAGCACGGAGCAGCGAACCAATGTAGTTGGGCTGCTGAACGCCGGCTTTGGTGTGCCAGATAATATTGTGGCGGTTGGCGAGGATGGTCGCGCAGAGGGTGGTGCCGTTATTGCCACCAATACCGATCATCATCAATCTAGGGAAACATCGCACCAAAAGTTAAACCTTAGTCAGAAAAAAAAACCTGATGCTTACCCAGTCTTTCCCGGAGTCCGCTTCGTTTGGAATTCATATTCCTCGACGGTCGGGGTGATGTTGAACTGACCATTCGTAACATCGACCTCAGCACCTCGATTGAAAAACTTGGCGGTGATGTGCTCGGCGGTGTAGAGGGTGTTCTCCGACCGAACGGTAATGGCCTGAGGGCGACGGGCCGCAGTTGGGTGAACTGGCAAGACGGACTCGAGCTCAGACTCAGGGGTGTTGTAACCCGAGGTGTTTGTTGAGAGGTTGGGTGCCATAGTGAGCTATGTAGATAAAGTTCCGGCGACGTGAAGGGGGAAATTAGAAACTGATAAGGAACCCGGAGGTCGTGTGTTTAATGCCTCTATGAGAGTTGTGGGAGCTGCAGAGCTGGTTCGAGTACATGCAGGTGACTCCTGAGTGTTGGTTTGTGCAAAACCTGAGAAACAGAGACGAGAGACGAGGTGGGTCAAGGGGCGAAGAGAGGGTAACGACGAGGAAGGTTCAGAGAGGCCGCGAGCGACGGTAACGGGAGAGCAAGAGGTTGAGTTCACCCTTAAATAACTTTTTTTTTTCGAAGTCCGTCCCGGGCCGGTATTTATCCGCAGGCACAACCAACATTTACGCCCCAGAAATCATAACGCCGTCTTCGGCCTGTCAACATTCCTGACATTTGAGGCCTTGAGGTCTTGAGGACGTATTCATTTGGCACAGTGAGTCAGTCCCTTGCATGATAAATACCCTGTTCCTGCACATCGTGTTGAAAAGGTACACCTTTAATCGAACGATTTCTGGGGAGCGACTCGGGGTAATTTCGTCAAGACGCCTTGAGGCTGGCGAATATTAATGGTCTCTGTGATATCGATTTCAAGAACAGGTGACGCTTGGGGATTGTGCCACATGCACTGACTGATGGTGTCAGGCAGATTTACGAATCAAATTGAAATCGAAGAGAGTGCACGAGGACTGAGGACAAAGAGATTATGCCAGAGAGTCACGAGAAATACCACTTGTGTCTCTTCCCTCGCCACCACCAGTCAGCTTAACGCAGTTCCTGAAAGTTTATCTGAGCATACCATCGAACATCCCGATCCCTTCGCGGTCTATCTTCACCAATCCGGTTGACACGGAGCTTTCACTTGATGACCATTACCGGGACGGCCAGTCAAACGTTGGCCAGAGTGTAGAACGGCGTTCGCCACTGTTCGCCTCTGGTCACGTCACGACCTCGTGTGCTGCCAAGAGCACCCTCGAACAATCCCTCCTCCCACTGGATATATACTGGTGACCTTAGCTTAATTCAAGTGAGTAAAGCGGCATCGTCAGATTGCGGTGGACAGAACTGACATAAATCCTGGGTGTGCCCAAAGGCATGTGATTCACCTAGATGCGTGCGTCAGCTGCCGAATTGATAACATGAAGGTCAGCGCTCAGCAGTATGAGCGTCGATGGAAGAAATCAAAGCAATTATTTAGAGCGGGATGCGGCTAAAACCTGTTACTAGTAAGCAAATCCCGGTAGTTTGATCTCTTTCTTGGCTGACCCTCTTGCAGTAAGTATTGTGCCTAATGACCCGGAAACATATACGCCTTCCCCGCTCACCAGGAGTCGAGATCAAATCTCAACGATAACAAAATGTGGTATAAGCCTGAGAGAGGTCTCCCTACCATGCAGGGCTTGAATCCCATTGGAACAGGCAGGCTGAGCGCCAAATTTATGGCTGGCGCTTTCACAGATACAAAGGCTGAATCTGGTCAACCTTGTTTATTCCCGTGTGTCCTCTGAAATGGATTATGAACGGTGCCACGCTGATTAAACAACTTGCATGGGAACCACCACCCATCCACTACAGCCTCAAACGCTATTTTAAAGTACACGTCCCCGCTATGGATGTTTTCCGATAAATGTAAGTAAGTCCGGAGTCCAAATACCACTTGGCATCTTGACTTCTTGAACGCTGTAGGGCCTTCCCGACTCTCCGCGGGGTCGATCGATATTTGGAATGATCCAGCTCTTTTGTTCGAAAACACCGGTTATGAGCTGTACACAATTCCTTCAGATCGTGCTTCAGCCGTTCCCAGGTAACCCAGACACATGCACGTTGCCTGATGCTGGATGCGGAAGCCTCAGCTGAAAATCTCTCGGGCAGCAGTCATGGCAAATTTGGGTGCGCGGCGTCAATTCCCAGCACCCCTCAGGAATCAAATATGATGTACGTCCCGTTTTCGCCTTTGCGACTCGTCCGGCGTCACCATTTATCCCAGTCAACGCCCAGACTGGCCGGTCCATCCTCAAACACTCAGCATGAATCCTCACTCTGCATCCAATTTGACGATGGGCTGTCAGCTTCTGTCGGATTGAGTTTTATATAGGACATCCCGATGCACCCGGCCTTCTTGAACTATTGCTGGGCGTATGCCTCATTCAACGACCTCTACCTTCGGATCACATCCGAGTCTAAGCGCACTAGAAACTTCGCGAAGCCTGCGCCCCATTATCCCCAATGACGTCCTTGAATGACGCCTTCTATCACGTCTTCCGAGAAAATAATTCTAAGGTTCGAGCGACTCATCTCGGTGGCAAGTAGCAGATCCCCGGCCTGTGCAGGACCTGCCATCTGTCAGTGGGGACTCTCGTCGACTTACTACATCAAAGGCTCTGAGGACCGTGAACTCGCTTTGCAACTCGAGGAGTACTAGTAACTCACCCATATTACACTATCACAGTGTGGGTGCTGGGCTCTAGTATTTAGTATATGTTCCACGGCGTTGTGGCCTTCAGCGGATTTTGAATTTCCTTCTGGCAGATGTAAGAGGAAACCTGGCAGAATGAGACCAGGCCGTGAGTCTGCACCGTCGTCAAAACTAGCGCTACCGACTCGGAAGCATCGTCACTTTGTCGGTTGGATCCTACCTAGCCACGTTCTCCGGCTTGAATATCCGAATAAAAATTCTAGGGTGCTCGGCGGTGACCAGACAAGCACCAGTGGACCGCTATGGGGCCGTTTTCGGGAAGCCAATAGAAAATTCTACATCATAAAGAAATCTACATTATCGCGCTTTTATCAGTGTATGACCGCGTATACATACGACAAGGACGGAACCGAGATCCTCTCAAACGCCTCTTTGAATGTCAGCGACGCCCTCCTCGCTCCACCAGGAAAAGGATGGACTTACTTATTTTGTTCTATGGATCCTCTCAAACACCTCCTTCGGCGCGACCATACCAACGTCGTATCGACGCGGTCTCTGGCATTCCACTCCAACCCCACACACCCCAATTCCGAGTCTCTAAGTGGCAATCTATTTTTATCCCATCCTGGAGATGGTACTCTAATATACATACACGTCAATATCTTGATACACGATTGGTTGAATAACAATGCGAGCGAGGTGAATGATTCCGAGTTGTATAATGGTGTCATGCACTGAAAATGAAAATTATTAACTTTCAAATCAAAGTCAAAGAAAGAAAGAAAAACGCACAAGTCAGGAACCGGCACCAAAAAATCCAACACGCTTATCTCCCCGCGCGTAGCCACCACCAACCTCCCCGAAGCAGGACAAAAATCATACAACACCCTGTCCTGCAACCCATACGTATACAGCGACTTCGTAACAGCCGAACATCCCTCCCCCTGTCGCCCTTCACTCCCCACTTCACTTCCTTCCTCACTAGCCTCGTCACTCCACACATCACCATAATCCTCCTCCTCCCCCTCCATCCTCATCAAGCTAGTCAAAACCTCCCCACTCAACGCCCACGACTGACTCAACTGGCCATGACAAATCGTCATAGGCGGTAACACAACCCTCGCATTAAACGGCACCCTCCTCCCCGCACTCGACCCATTAGCACCTGAATACACCTTCTCCACATCCATCGCGAACCTAAAAGGCTCCTTCGCGTCGGAGCCCGTCAGATCCAAATGTTCCATCTCGAGTTTGTATAATGACATGGCGAGGTTCCGGCCTATGGGCGTTGCGAGGCCTAGGTAAGTGGTGAATGCCGACTATCAATGGTGGAAATGTGGTTTAGGGAGGCCACCACCCTGCGGGTGCTGCTAAAAGGGGAGGGCGGCGGCGGGGATTTGGGTTGTTGAAGGGGTGGGTTATTTCCATGGGTGGTTGGGTTTGTATGAGGTTTGCGGTGAGGTTGGGGCATGGGGTGGGTGAAGGGCAAGCCGATGAGCAGGGCAAGGAGCAGGGCGAAGGACAGGGGTGGTTGGGGTGAGGAGGACGGAGATTGCGGTGTGTCGTAGGATGAGGAGCTGGTCTCCGAATATGATTGTCTGTAAAGGTATCATTGAGGTTGGGAGGAAATAAAGAGGGAGGAAAATACATACGTCGTATGCTGGATCTAGGCTTTCTAATTTCCATGTTACGGCGATGTTGGAAGTGAGATTCCATAGGCACATGTGCATCTCCTCATCCAGCAAGAACACACGATCTCCAGAAATTGCGTGTAGGTGGAGTGGCGCTTTCAAGCGCAGCTTTCTAATGAATTGGAACTGTGGCTTGAGCGCTGCGAGGTGAATCTCAGATACCTTTATCTACAACTTGTAAGCATCTGCCGCACCACCACGAAAGCAAAAAAAGAAAGCACATACCCATTCGCCACAATGACGCGTAGCCCACGGTAATCTGGCGCAGGCACTACGCCCCAAATCGACAAGTGAGCGCCGTCCTCAGAAGCATGCACCGCAAACGGCATTGTCGTCGTCATCTCTCGAGCTCCCTCCGTATTCAGATCTAAATCCCACCATGCTCCGTCAACAGGAACTTCCCCCCAGGAACGAGCACGATCTCCTAACAATCACCCTCATCCTCACACACAGGCACCTTTCCATACGGGTCAAACACGCGCGTGCGTGTGGCAAAGAGGGTGTTGGCGGGTGAAGACTTGATGAGCGCGGAGAAGCGCCATGGCGAGAGTGCGGCGTGATTCGGGGTGCCGTGCGGACATTGTGTCGATGGGGAAGGTAGGGGCGAAGAGACGGCGTGTGTGACGTGCGCCATGGAGTGCGGATCGCCCGACGGTGCGAGAGTAAACTGTAAGAGGCGGTGTGGACTGCTTTGCCTGTCTGGGGATGAGGTGAGTTCGGTAGAAATTGTAGATAGAGGCGAGAGAGGACGTACTCTTCGAAGAGAGATGATATCGAATGGGTGGATAGATGTTTGTATGAGGTAGATCCGGTAGTGGCCGAGTTGATTGGGGGTGAATGGTTCAGGAAGCCTAGAGTGTAGTTCTTGAACTTGAGAGGGCTGGTGTCCAGGAAGTCGTGGTTCTACGGAAGTGTGTCAGCAGGGTACTTATTAGAAAGAAGTGAACTGCAAGATACGAAATCGAAGTACTAACCTTCACCCCGAAAAGAATTCTTCCACTCGAAACATTGCGGGACCAGTAGCAAATGAGTACTGAGTACTGAGTGCTTGAGTAGTGAAGATGGCGATGTTGTCGAGCTAGTGGTTGAGATCAAGAGCTTTATTTGGCGACAACTAATATCACAACTATGCACGAAGTCTCATGTACAATCCAATAGCTATCAGCGAGAGTTTTCTTGTGTTTCCAACTGAATCTAAATGTAACCGTCTCTCACCACACTGGCAGAAGAGCAACACCAGACGCGCCGAATTGACCTTCCTCTCCTTCATCTATCCATTCGTCCATCATCCACCAACTCCGGCATCGAATACTCGAGCATGCCCCATAACAGTCTTCCAAGGTACAGCCTTCCAACGCCGTTAAGCCCGATAAAGCTCCAGAGCCTTCACACACTTCCCCGCCGCAATCGCGTACATCGCGGTTGAATGGGGGGAGAGCCCGCGCTCGATCACTTCCACGACCTCTCAGGGGTATAACGCCTCGTTGCCTTCGACCGAAATCACCACATACACAGCGGGCACCTGCCCAACCTATCTTCGCTTCTGCTCTCCTGTTTAAACGGCGTTGATTCGCCTTTCCTCCGCATAACCTTCAGAGCGTGTTGACGGTACGGAGCCGGCCGTCATTTGGGAGTACTTTCCCAGAGAGTCAGAGTCAGTTCCTGATCTACTCTTCCGATGGAGTAGGGCGAGGAATCTTCCCTAGGAAGAGGACGATCTGGACGGTGAGGATGCTTCATGTCGATTGAAGCACGGTGGTTCAGGTTTGGCAAAGAAAGAAGTCAAGAAAGCGAGTGGGGAACCAGATGCATCCGGCCCCTGCAAACTCCGCATTCGCCCTCTTTCGTCCTTTTTCGTCCGAGGGGATTCATTTGAACCTCGTCAACGACGCTTGTGGACATCGAACAAGACGAGAGCCTCGACCCTTCCATCGTACACCTCCATCAGATCCGCCCTCCACCTCGCACTGGGCCAAAGAAGGCGTGCGTCCGTACTGTGAAAAGCCCTCCCAACGATGGCATCGGTCGGGAGAGTGGTGAGGCGATTCATGAACTCTACGCCCGAGAGGGGGTGGGTGAGCAGTCGAAACTTGGAGGCAAGTAGGGCGGTGCCACTTCAGAGGACATTATCAGGGTCCTTGCAAAGTTAGGTCGTAGTTCGTTGCTGCTTGGAGGAAAGCAAGGGGGCGGATATGGGTGTGCGATGACGGCAGCCACATTGGGTGTCGTAGAATGATAGATAAACTAGCTTTCCGAACAGAATTTGGATGCAGAGTGAGGATTCATGCTGAGTGTCTGTCTACCATCAGGATCCCATGAGGAGGGACCAACCAAGTTGGCGACCTCCCTGAGAAACGATAGAGACGTTGACTCGTCAGCACCATCAATTGATAGACACGCTAAGTGGATGAAAGTAGGATGTGCCAGCGAAAAACGAGCGACGACTGGCGAAGGGGAGTTGTGGAAACGTGTTGGGGCAGAGCGAACGCCATGGAGGGGAGAACTTGACTCTTTCACTCAGATAGTGAGCGAGTTTCGCGAACCTCGGTCGCTGCATGCCGAGGGGGTGTTTTCGTCGGAGGAGAAGAGGTGGAAGGAACACGTTATGACTGTCGAAATGAGCTTGTATAGGACCAGCTGCATACCAAATCATCAGCTACCAACATGACAGAAAAGAAGACAAACTTGCTTGAGGGTTCCCTAAAGCCTCCCTTAGATAGATTCTCCCGTCGAATCAATCGATGGCTCCAAGTTTCGCGTCTCTTATTTGCGAGCACTCCCTCAAAACATCTGTCTTGACGAAGCAAATCAACTGTGTCGAGCTCTGCGTTTGAGCAACCGTGTCCCCGGAGCGGCGGAGCCGAGTTGGTTGCAGTTTGAGAATGGCTGTTCGAGCAAGCACAGAAGGCAAAAATTGAAATTGGCGCCTTCAGACACTGTCGCTTGTTCGACGATGAATCGGCGTCGACTGCGAGAAATGGTGACGCCAGAAGATTCGTAAAGATGAAAACGAGAACAGCTAGGTCGCATAGGGTATCCTGATTTCGGCGACTGAGGGGTGCTGGGACTTGATGCCGTGCAGCTAAATCTGCCAGGACTGCTACCCGAAAGATTGTCAGCCGATGGTTCTGCATCCACAGAGTTCATTACATACCTTAATTCCCAAGAAACTCTTGAGGGATGCTCGCTGCCCTATGAATTCATGATGACGCGGAGCCCAATCGAAACACCGCCCAGCACCCAATAACGCCTTCAACGCCCCAGGTCGACCTCGTTCCTTTGGCGCAAACCAGGTAAGTGCCAGACAGAGCCAACATGCAAGAAAGTCGAGCCGACCCACCGAAGAGGGCGATATTGACGAGGAATGAGACAGGCAAAGACGAGGACTGAAGCAGGAAGCTCAGGCACATGAGCACTAGATAAAAATATAACACGCGTTCACTTCGTGGTGTAATTGGGGGTCTTCTGGCCTACAGGCGCTCTCCATCTCTTCCTTCCCCCATCCTGAACCTCTCTACCTTCGGTATCTCAACATGAGCGGAACGAACGTTTTTGCGGGCGCTCACAACTTTGTTGCTAGCGACATCACGGTGAATGCAGCTAAGATAGTGAGTGGAATGTTTATTAGATGTCCATCAGGCAAGCTGAGGGCGTTGGATCTCTTGCAGATCAACATCCATACCAATTATCAGACGTACCAATTTGCCTGCTCCGACGCACGGAGTCACGAAATCGGCACACATGCCTCATGCCCCGAGGCGCGCCCCCCTGCTCAGTATCTAAACGCCCCAGACAGTGCAGCGGTTCCCACCTTAATTGAAACGACTCCTTTCCTTTCAAGCGACATCGCCGCCGCCGCCCAAATCGCTCTCGTGATTCATCAATCTCTCAGCGATAGCAAAGGGGCTCCGTATGAGCTTAACTGCTTCGTCGACGAGCTACGTTCTTTCGCCGACGCCTTGCTTTCGCTTTCCGAGATAGTCCGTGAGATTGAACTGCAACCCCTTGGCCCAATAACCATGAATATCATATACGAAGCTGCGACCTGCCTTGATTTCGTGAAGAAGGTCAGAGATGGTATCGAACCATACGAGACAGCTTTTGCGGCAGGGCGAGGTTCCTTCAGGAAAGTTTGGTACAAAGTCTGCTGGGGCGTTTTCAGGCCAAAGGAAATTACGACGCTGCGGAAGAAGCTTTCTCAGCGTACGCAGAAGATCGCAATCTGGGTGGGCGTATTGGGAATGTAAGCGCTGACTGCCAGTCCCTACCATCACTCACAGCGCTCTAGTTTCTTGACTTCCAACTACGGCAAAACCGTCGCGTCGATCGAGACAAGAACAAATGACCTACTCATGGTACATAAAAACATAGCTCCATCCGTTTCGTACGGCGTTGGGAATACGGTGATTTTGACGGATGCATTCGGGAAGCCGATACCGTTGGCAATGGACTACTATTGCTCGCCAGAGGTGTGCCACATAGACCTATGTCCGACTTGTACTAACATCACGCATAGGCCCTCCATAACTTCCTGATGTTCCACTTCAAGGACAAGATTGGGTTGGAGTATGTTGAGAGACATGAGTACAGCATTTCTACCGTGGACGGAAAGACGATCATGAAGTCTGATTATGCGGCATGGAGATCCATTGTGAAAGAAGGCGCAGTACTCGTCATGAGTATTCTGATTAGAATACAACTGGAGTCAGGGAGTGCTAAAGACCAGAGAAACACTTGCCCACGGTGTTTTAGGACTGATGTTGGTGTGATGCGGGACCAAGGGTGGTTAGAGTGGTAAGCATGATCTGGCTATTTGAATTTTTATTCAATCATCCTGACATATACACTGGAGTCGGCGTTGTGGACGACGCTTTGGCTGGGTTAACAGGGTGGAGCATGTGCGTGCATCGAAAGTGCCACCAAAGGATCAAAGCATAGTTGATTTTCGGAATCTCCAAGTGATCCCAGTCCGAATGGTAATTAAATTCATTTTGGGAGGATTGATGGACAGGCAAACTAACCTGACCTCTGCTTTCTCATTCCCAGAGTGTATGTGAACTTGATGCTTTGACTCTGACCATGCCTCTGACCATGTGTCTTGCTTTCCCATATCCAGGCTGTATGTGAACTTGTTGATTTGACTCTGACCATGCCTCTGACCATGTGTCTTGCTTTCCCATATCCAGGCTGTATGTGAACTTGTTGATTTGACTCTGACCATGCCTCTGACCATCTGTCTTGCTTTCTCATTTCCAGCTGTATGTGAACTTGTTGATTTGACTCTGACCATGCCTCTGATCTCTGTCTTGCTTTCTCATTCCCAGTGGGTATGTGAACTTGTTGATTTGACTCTGACCATGCCTCTGACTATCTGTTTTGCTTTCCCATTTTCAGCTGTATGTGAACATGTTGATTTGACTCTGACCATGCCTCTGACCATCTGTTTTGCTTTCCCGTTTCCAGCTGTATGTGAACTTGTTGATTTGACTCTGACCATGCCTCTGACCATCTGTCTTGCTTTCTCCTTTCCAGGCTGTATGTGAACTTGTTGATTTGACTCTGACCATGCCTCTGACCATCTGTCTTGCTTTCTCCTTTCCAGCTGTATGTGAACTTGTTGATTTGACTCTGACCATGCCTCTGACCATCTGTCTTGCTTTCTCATTCCCAGTGTATACTTGTTAATTTGACTCTGACCATGCTTCTGACTATCCATCTTGCTTTCCCATTTCCAGTCTGCATGTGACTTGTAGATTTGACTCTGACCATGCCTCTGACCATCCGTCTTGCTTTCCCATTTCCAGCTGGTATGTGAACATGTTGATTTGACTCTGACCATGCCTCTGACCATCTGTCTTGCTTTCTCATTTCCAGCTTGTATGTGAACTTGTTGATTTGACTCTGACCATGCCTCTGACCATCTGTCTTGCTTTCTCCTTCCCAGTCTGTATGTGAACTTGTTGATTTGACTCTGACCATGCTTCTGACCATCTGTCTTGCTTTCTCCTTTCCAGGGGTATGTGAACTTGTTGATTTGACTCTGACCATGCCTCTGACCATCTGTCTTGCTTCTTTTTCCAGCTGTATGTGAGCTTGTTCATTTGACTCTGACCATGACTTCTGATCATCTGTCTTGCTTTGTCCTTCCCAGTTTGATTAATTTGACTCTGACCATGCTTCTGACTATCCATCTTGCTTTCCCATTTCCAGTATGCATGTAAACATGTTAGATTTGACTCTGACCATGCCTCTTCCCATCTGTCTTGCTTTCTCGTTTCCAGTGTATATGTCAACTTGTTTATTTGACTCTGGCTATGCTTCTGACCATCTGATCTTGCTTTCTTATTTCCAGTGTATGTGGACTTGTTAATTTGACTCTGACCATTCCTCTGACCATCCATCTTGCTTCCTCATTTTCTGGGGTATGTAAACTTGTTGCTTTGGCACTGACTGCACTGCTTACCTTCCGCCTCATTTTTTTTTTCACTTTCTGACATTAAGTGAACTTGTATATATCTAAAAAGCCTTTTTACATTAATTTCACTGGGTATGTATTTAAATGTCAGTTTTGCTGATTTCCTTGTGTTCACCTGTTATTCAATCTTAAATCTAAGTATGTTGATAACCTTTACATTTATTTTTATTTACACATTCTCTTATTGCAATTTTCAATAATGATGACATTTTGAACTAAAAAGTTTGAACTCTGGTCAGGTCATTTGACTTGTGAGAAGTCCAACTCCATGTCCAACTACGATTCTGACAATGAAGAGCATGAAAATGATGGCTGTAGGTTCTGATTCTACATCCCACATCAGGAAAATCACTTTCTTCCTGGGACAAACATGTTTGTAAGCTTTTTCCCAGGGTGTCACAAGGCATCACAGGATGTCCTAGGGCAACCTGAACTGTCCTGAAATAACCTGAAACTACTAGTACACTAGATTTTAATAAAAGAACATTCCTTATTGTATATGAGTTATCGAGTTTAAACTATGTTTACTCAAGTCCAATGAATGCTGTCCAAAGCTTGAGTTACACGCGTACAACACTGTCATCACATTCACCAACACATGACTTCTGAGCCGCTGCTCACTTGCCCGCTGGCAAACTTCGCAATCCATGCTTGGAACACAGTTTATTTTAGACTTGCACCGCTAGTTGAGGAGTGAGATGAAACACCCCTTTCCATAATGCTCTTGTTTCAACTCTCACTCCCTCAGCTAGGTGCAATTTTTCATCTTCATTTGCAAGGCTCTCATTACAATAGCTCACTCCCACTTTATAGTTTAAAGCTGTCTTTATTTTTCATCAATAAAATACTGCGTATTCATTGTGCCTCATTTCAACTCCTATGAGTGACGGTCATGCCATATACTTCACATCTGCAGAACCTGGACACGAGTCCTCCGATACTACTGGAGTGGATGCAGGAAGACAAGGTTCCTCTGCTACTGTCGACTTGAATGCAGGACTATCTGGAGGAGAACATACCTCAGAAGATCAAGGGAACCCCAATGTTACTCAGGAGACTGCAGATGGAGACACCAATGTTATCCTTGCGGGAATGTCTGGGAATGGACAACAACAACCGAGTCCAGGGCGCAACAAACCAAATGCGGGAGACCCACAAAATGACAATTCGCCCTTTGAGCAGGAATCTATCAACCTCATGGACAACATCATTGAAAGCTTTCAGAGAAAGGAGGTTATGAAGCTCAAAGCCCTATCAACGAGTGGTCCCTACCACTTTTATGATAAAACACTGGCAGCTGCCAGCACAGCGATTTGGTCACTGCCTAGCTTTTTTATGAAATGAAATACATGGACAAGGCTTATGAAATGCATCTCATTTCTTCCCAAGGCTTTATATCATTGCAATTTCATTTCTATTTCTTTCCTCCCCAGGATCTCATTTCATTTTTTTCCCTCACTTTATTTCATTCCTGTCTAGCACTATTTTTCATTGCAATATTTTGGTATTTCATTTCTGCCTAGTACTATTTTTCATTGCAATATTTTGGTATTTCAATTCTGCCTAGCACTATTTTTCATTGTGATATTTTGGTATTTCAATTCTGCCTAGCACTATTTTTCACTGCAATATTTTGGTATTTCATTCCTCTCTAGCTCTGTTTTTCATTGCTTGCCTAGGGCAATATTTTTGTTATTTCATTCCTGCTTAGCATTATTTTTCATTGCTTGCCTAGGGCATATTTCATTCCTCCCTATGGCCATTTATCATTGCTAGCTCAGGGTGATATTTCATTTCTAGGGCTATTTTTTTATTGCTTGCCCAGGGCGATATTTTTGGTATTTCATTCCTGCCTAGGTGAAAAACAGAGTAGGGATGATGACACCTGGGAGGGTAGTCACATGACCAATTACCAAAAATGGTCAAAAATGAAAGTTATAAGGTAGCGGACAGCCATACCTTGCTAACGTCACGTGCTGAGCGTGACAGCCTCCAAAACGGTCAATTTTTTACAGATTGCTCTTCAATCTAGTTAGCACACGGTTTGTAGCTAATCAGGCCAGAACTTATTGTAGATATTAGTGTCAATTTATATTTGTGGGTAAAATTTTGGCGCAAAAGCAAAATCTCGAGAAGTAGATCCAAAAATGGCACATCATGTCGCGTCAATATTGGCAATACATCCGCGCACCCTCCGTTATCTGTCCTAACCTCAACACACATGCCACCACTATGGAAGGCACTTGTTGCACAACTTGCAAGTATGGGGAAGGGCCCTGGAAAGAGAACAAATCCATGGGAAATGGATGAGAATTCGGTGAAGAGAAAAAAGCTCACAGGTGGTAAAAAGGTGAGGCTAAAGATCCATCTTAAATATGTTCTGTCGCATTTAAGCTGTTTAGAATGGCGTTACGACAGATAAACCTTCAAAAAACGCGTCAGAAAACGTGTCGGCTGCACAGAAACAGAACATTGACGTGTCAGGGTCGGACCCCACATTACGGCTGTCTTCTGTGATGAACCAGGGTCAAAGTCAACAGGATTGCATTGACATGTTCCTTGGTTCCTTTCAATGCCAGATCCCTGTACCCCATACAGCGGACCTTATGGCACCCAGATATCAATCATTCCAGATCGAGAAACCTGTGTCAGAGTTTTTCACAGGTACCTACCCCTGGGATGAAAAGGATCAGGATGCCGACAAGGAAGAGGCCCATTCCCTGGATGTAGAGGATGAAGAAATAGGTGAAGATGCAGGTAAAATAGATCTTCGAGCTATTGGAAAATTTGAAATCACTCACATATTGTTTCATGAAGACCTCCCAGAAATGAAAGAAATTCGAGATGGGAAGCAACGCCAAGCCCCTACGTTAGACCAAGCCAGGGCCGCCCTGAAAGATTTGAAAGAGATTCTTGATCCCCCACGAAAAACAGGTGCTGGACACAAAGATCCCAGCCTGGATCTCTTTGTCCGAAAAAAGGTCCAAGGCATGGTCAGCATGCTGAATTTTTACACAATCCCCCACTCACATACATACGGAAAATGGGGTGCATCTGCCCTCCAAGCTACTGTCTCTATGGGGAGAGGTCGTTATTGCACGCGTCAACTTACTGCACTGGTGCGGAAATTCCTGGATGATCATACCTTTCTTCCGGTTAATCCCTATGGAGATTGGAACCAATCAATGCTCATTGATGAGGATTTATCCCTGGACATCAATTTGTATCTCCAAGAAATCAGAAAGGATGTCTCAGCAAAGAAGGTGGTCAGTTTTCTTGCTCAGGAAGAGGTGAAACAGAAACATGGCATTACCAAAGCGATTTCTGAATGGACGGCGCGTTGATACCTGAATGCGCTGGGTTACTGATTCCGCACTGCAAAGAAAGGTCAATATGCAGATGGTCATGAGCGCGAGGATGTCGTTTATTACCAGGACCACACTTTCTTATGTAGTGTGCGCTTTTTCATCAGAAAAGTTTGCAGTGTCTGCTTTTTGAGACTACAAAAGTTTGTAGTATCCGCTTTCTGAGACTACAAGAGATTGTAGTGTGCACTTTTTCATTAGAAAAGTTTGTAGTGTCTGCTTTTTGAGACTACAAAAGTTTTTACTTGACATGTAGTTTATGGTGTCCTTGGCTCTGTCTAGGTTATGGGGATGAGGTTGAAGGATTAACATGATCTTACTTACATATTGCCAGTGCTGCTGCATTAGTTTTTGACATCATGCACAAGTTGTCTTTCACATTAGGAAAGGCTATCCTATGCCTTCATATTGATACCTACTGTTCTGTCCTATTTCAAAACATAGTTATAAGGTCATGGGGATATGGCTGAAGGATTGACATGACCTCACATATTGCAATTGCCACATCATCACTTTTTCACATCATGCCCAAGTTGGCTTTCAAGCCAGAGGAGGCCATTCATGTGTGAAAGCAGACAGACAGTAACTATCAATGTGAAAGCAGAGAATAGCCTGTCCTGATGTGAAACACAACTTGGGCATGATGTCAAAAAGTGGTGATGTGGCAATAGCAATATGTAAAGTCATGTCAATCCTTCAGCTATATCCCCACATGAACTTATAATAATTATGTTTTCAGATAGGACAGTGGGTATCAATATGAAGGCATAGGATAGCCTTTCCTAATGTGAAAGACAACTTGTGCATGATGTCAAAAACTAATGCAGCAGCACTGGCAATATGTAAGTAAGATCATGTTAATCCTTCAACCTCATCCCCATAACCTAGACAGAGCCAAGGACACCATAAACTACATGTCAAGTAAAAATGTTTGTAGTCTCAAAAAGCAGACACTACAAACTTTTCTAATGAAAAAGTGCACACTACAAACTCTTGTAGTCTCAGAAAGCAGATACTACAAACTTTTGTAGTCTCAAAAAGCAGACACTGCAAACTTTTCTGATGAAAAAGCGCACACTACAAACCTTTGTAGTCTCAAAAAGTGGATACTACAAACTTTTCTAATGAAAAAGCGCACACTACAAACCTTTGTAGTCTCAAAAAGCAGATACTACAAACTTTTCTAATGAAAAAGTGCACACTACAAACTTTTGTAGTCTCAAAAAGCGGACACTACTAACTTTTCTAATGAAAAAGCGCACACTTTGTAGTCAAAAAAAGTGGAGACTACAAACTTTCCTAATGGAAAAGTGCACACCAAACTTTTGTAGTGCCAAAAGGCAGACACTACAAACCTTTCTAAGGAAAAAATGAACACTACAAAATTTTGTAATGATGAAAAGTGGACACAACAAACTTTGTAGTCTTGGATAAGCTTTTAACCCTAACTTTGTAGTCTAAGTCCAAAGCTTTTGTAGTCTAAGTCCGACTTTTGTAGTCTTTTGTAGTCTATCAGTAAACTTTGTAGTCTATGGTAGACTCTTATAGTCAGTCAGTGTCAATTTCTTTTCTAGGGCATGCACCTTCCTTTTTTGGTCATTTTTTCCCATGATACAATAATTGTAGCCCTTTCTTTTAGCTTTCTAAATATACTGAAATCATGTTGTTTGGTTTTGTTTTCATAGGGAAAAACACAAAAAACAAAAACAACGCGACGCTTTTGAAAATCCTTCACCTCATATCTCCACAATGGGAGCACTTCAGAATATATTCGAACAGATTG